CACACACACACACACACACACACACACACACACACACACACACACACAGTGAAGTATTGATGGGATCTTTGTGTTCCTGTGTGGAGATGATGTCGTGGCAGACGTAGTAAAGACGATCCCAAACTCTGTTGGGGGTGTAGCAACTCATAAAAGTGATATAAGCTCCAAGGGGCCGGTCAGCTGGTGCTGCATGTATTTATGTACGTTTGTGTGATTGCAAGGCGTTCTTGAACTGCTGACCATGCTGATGAAACGCAGCGAGTGGGCCCGTTGCCACGACAGCAGGCCATATGTCATTGTGACAACGGGGTCGGGCCAGACTGTGATGGCACTCAGACACACATGCGTGCACACACAAGTTATTAAGACTCTCAAAGAGCATAAATCATAGAAAATATAGAAAAACGCACTCGCTGGGAGATAAGGACATCCTTTAGGGTGGTGCACTGACTGCTGGGAGTTTGAGTCTTTTGAGAATGAAAAATAGGTCAGAGCAAATAAAACTACAAGAGAGAGAATCTGAGCGTCTCCATCTGCTGTGAGCGAAAGGAAAGATGGTGACTTAGAATGGGTGCCAGCATGAGATGACTACTGGATGTGGATTAATGCATCTGCATAAACAAAATTAGAGAGAAACACTGAAAGAGAAAAGAGAGGAGATCTCTGGCTGGAAAGGTCTGAGGGCTACACAATGACTCAAAGTTATCAGTGTCACTCTCGGCAACGGATGTGGCAAGTAAGGAAACGGCATTAGGAGACTTGGTGTGCTTGCACTGATGCTGTTAAAGTGCACCTACGCAGCTGGTGGAAATGGGGACCTACGTAGCAGTTAGCCTGTGATAGCCTCGGTTAGCATGCAGCTGCATGCCAGAGTACAGTTGAGCAGGGGGAGGGGGAGAGCTGCAAGCTTCTGGAGCAAAACACATACAGACACACACTTTCTCAGCAGATAACACCACACATGCACACCAGCATTGACATATTAACCAACCAGACTGTTTCTGCAGATGATGTCATTACAGAAATAAACTTCATCCCCATGTAGGAAGACACAGACACATGCATGCTCAGACAGCATTGAAACTCAAAGACAACAGTCCAGCTTCCGGCCAACTCCGTAAAAATGCACCTACCCTCGTAATTGACAATCACAATGGCCAGCATGTAGTCTTTTCCCAGCATCATAGTTAGCTAGCTGCCTCTCATACAGCAAAACCCAATGCTGTAACCAAAGAGAGAAGCCCAGACAGAGATGGAAAGAGAGAGAAGGAAGCAGAGATCAGAGTGAGGGGGACACCGCAGCAGAGGGGGTGAGGAGACCAAGAAGGGAGGGAGAGAGAGAGAGAGGAAGGGAGGAAGGGAAAGAGAGAGAAAGAGAAAGAGAGAGAGAGGAGGGGGGACAAATCAAGGCAGAGAGGTAGAGAAAACATGACGTGACGAGAGAGGCAGTAGGAAAAAAAAATGGGGAGAAAGAGTGAATGAGAGGAGGAGCAAAAAAAAAGGATGGAGAGCCTGCGACTGAGGAAAACAGGAGTGAAAGACAAACATTTATACGGGGGGGGGGGGCCGTTTCCCCCTGCAGGCGAGCTGTGTTTGCTGCTTGTCTCTCCCCTCTCTATCTAGAGCATCAGCCACATCAACAAGAAGACAAAACAAAAGAAAAAAAAAGAAAAAGAAAAAGAAAGCTCTACCCTCCCTTTCCTGTTCAAAACCAAACATGCAGCCGGGGCACATGGAAGGAGGCTAAAATGTGGCACAGTCATCCTTATCAAATTTCTAGGTTTATTATTTTCTCCCTTTTTTTCCAGCCTCTCTTGGTTGTCCTGGCAACCTCCAAATCGGCTTTTATTCAGCATCTCATCCAGTGGAGGTGCGAGGACGAGGTGGGTCAGAGAGGTAGAAAGACATGTAACTGTCTCAAACACACTTTGAGCATCACGCGTTGCTTTTTGGCACTAATCACCATTCAGTTATACTGTGCTTGAGTTAAGGGACCAACCTGGCCGAACACTGGTGTACATGTAGTTGTCCCCTGTCACCACAGCCAGTAACTGTTTCCTACAATGGTTGGTTGGGCAATGGTTGTTGGTCCTTTAGCTTAGCTACTAGCTTGAGTCAGAACAGAGCAGGAACTTTAATTTTGTTTGCTCTTTGTGGTGAACTCCACTGTTCTCCACTGCTGCTCTAATCAGCATTGGTTTTTGGACAGACTACACAGTTGCATGTCCCAAAATACTTCAACTACCTACACAAACTATCACGAATGCTGTACCATGAAATCTGTTTTACAGCACAGGATGTTATGTGATAATGTTAGACTTCTATAAATAGGGCTTGAAGGACCCTCTTAGACTCTGTATGCAGAGTGTGTGTGTGTTTTGACACCTTTGTGGGAAAACAGGGTCATACCAACCCTCTAGCCCACAATCCCCACAGAGGAATCTATCACACTGCTGGGAAAACAACACAGATTTGTCAACGTGAGTTTGACAAAAGCAGATAGGGGGCACTACAGTATGGGCAACTAGGAGTTGGATAGATACACTATACTGCCAAAAGTACTCTCTCATCTGCCTTCACACGCACATGAACTTGAGTGAAATCCCATTCTTAAATCATAGGGTTTAATATGACGTCAGCTCACCCTTTGCAGCTATAACAGCTTCAACTCTTCTGGGAAGGCTTTCCGGAGGTTTAGGAGTGTATTTCCAGGAATCTTTTCACTATTCTTCCAGAAGCACATTTGTGACACTGAGAAGGCCTGGCTCGCAGTCTCTATTCTAATTCATCCCAAAGGTGTTCTATCAGGTTGAGGTCAGGTCTCTTTGCAGGGCAGTCAGACTCGCTCATCCATGTATTTATGGACCTTGCTTTGTGCACTGGTGTGCAGTCATGTTGGAACAGGAAGGGATCATCATCAAACTGTTCCCACAAAGTTTGGAGCATGAAATTGTCCTAATGCAGTCAGGGAAGTTCCGTTTTCCTGGAAATAGCTAAACCCAGAGTCATGCGTCAGATTGTCAGACAGAGAAGCATGATTCGTCAGTCTAGCAAACACGTCTCCACTGCTCAACAGTGCAGTGGTCGCATGCTTTACACCACTGCTTGGTGATGTAAGGCTCGGATGCAGCTGCTCATTCATGGAAACTCATTCAATGAAGCTGTCTAGTCACTGTATTTCAGCCAAGCTGAAGCCCACATGAAGTTTAGTGGTCCTGCGACCTGTGCACACTATATGCTTCAGCATCCGCTGACTCCAGTCTGGGATTTTACGTGGCCTACCCCTCGTGGCCGAGTTGCTGTCATTCCTAATCGCTTTCACTTTGTTATAATACCACTAACAGCTGACAGTGGAATATTTAGTAGCAAGGAAATGTCACAACCAGACTTGTTGCACAGGTGGCATCCTGTCATGATACCATCCTGGAATTCATGTAGCGCCTGAGACCGACCCATTCTTTCACAATGTTTGTATAAGCAGTCTGCATGCCAAGGTGCTTGATTATATAGGCCTGCGGGGATGAAAGTGACATATACAATTTAACTAGTCATTTGCTTCCTTACTGAGCTCCTCACTACACACATCATGGTCCTGGTTCTCTTTTTTAAATGACATTGCAAATAAGCAAAGATGGATCTGAAAGACTGTTACTTTCGTTTATTAATTTTCTGTATAGAAACAGGTATGTAATATGAACAGTGCCATACACGCCAGCATTTATAGCCTTAGCTAATTTGCGATGCACATCCCTAGATGGGCTTTTATACACAATGAAATCCTGGACAAATGAACACATGAAAATGTAATCCTGAAATCCAGACAACACGACAGTAAAACTGTAAAAATGCAAGCTGCTGGTATTCCAACTTGTAGAGAAATGAGTTACACAGATGCTCAGAGCTTTCAACTTGAGACTGTGAGTCATCAGAAAGCCAAAAAAAAAAAAAAAAAAAAAGCAGCAGTACAACTCACCGACTCAGAAAGACGGCACTGTTTACAGCCGAGACCACAGCCTCTTCTTCCTGTTAATCTGGAGGCTTTGTTTATATGACAAGCTATGAGGAACACTAAAGTGCCCATATGGTTATGTTGCAGGACCGGCTGCTGTTCTGCAGGAGCACGGATGTGTTTTGCTAGTCTTACACTAAACCACAAGTTTTAAGTGCCCAGAGAAAAACTCCATACCCAGATTTTAACATAACGCTGGCAAAGAACAACAGTGAACTGAAGAGACCTGCAGACGTAGCCAACATGCAAATACAAGAAAGCAAGAGACCTGCAACAGATGGAGACTCTCAAACTCTAAATATCACGCAAAAGTTTATCCTCACAGCTTTGTAACAATGAATAATAATAATATTAATAATAGTTCATTAGATGGCAAAACTGAGTAGCTGTTTGCAATCTAAACAATACCATTTTTCCCAGATATTTTATATCTAAAGGTTTAAACAGAGAAATTATCTGCAAAGTAACCAAAGACAGAGAAGAAACATACAGATGTAAAGTAGGGCTACATCTGATTTCTTTTCTATGTCTATATATTAAATATTAGTCAGCGTCATCATTATGCCCATCATTACAGGATGAGAGGAACAGAAATTGAACAACTAAGAATATCTCAGTCACTCTGTGTCTCAGGGATATTACTTTTTCTGTATTTTAATTAATTTTTAAGTCAAATTCTAGAGTTGCGCTTCTTTCAGTTACATTTTTATTTAAAATTGTTCAGTATTAGTCTTAATTAGTTTTCATTTTTAAAGTTCAGGATTTGCACACACAGGGAAGGTAATTATTGTAGTTGTTAAAACTAAAACTATGTTAGACTAACAGCAGACTACAGCTTTTCTCTTGACCCAGCTTACAGGTTCTTATGGAAAGGTTATCCATTATCTAATATTTGCAGAGACCAGATGCTCGTATTCACAGATATATAATAGTGATGAAGCTCAAGGTAGCTGATCAATACAGACGAATACAAGTGCAACAGGGGAGAGGAAAGCAGCTCCATTCTGTGGAGCTTTAAGATGAGGGGGTAAAAAAAACAACATCTAACACACCAAGATATTGGCAGCTAATTTATGCATTAAGTTAAGGCTGGTTCACACACATATGATCAGGATGAAGCTGGAAACAGGACACAGCTGATCTGGCACACCAACCCCCATGAGGTTACAAGGGCACTTCCTGTGCCTGAGGGATTCTGGGAGATTTACTGGAGGCTGGAGTTTTTGTTATTCTGTTTAAGCAATGCTTGAGCTCTGCATATCTATGAATGGACACACACACTCTCAGATGTGCACGCACACACACTCTGGGTAAATGGAAACATGTCATCAGTAGAGAGGACGGTGAAACCGCTAAACAGCAGGAGGGGGAAAACCCCCCAAAACACAACATACCACAGTAGCTGACATAAGACTCACATAAAAACTACACTGAATATTTGTAAATATCAGTAACGTTTACTGCATTAAGGCTTCATGGGCTCTGTGTGTGTCTGTCCGTGTGCGTACCTGTCTCCTCTGGCGAGTTGCTCTCCTGGGACAAGGTAGTCCAGCTCAACTCTTCGTCACTGGGGTTCAGATTCTGGATGCGGTTCAAAGCACAGTCTGTCTTTGCGCCAGTTCTTCTGTCCTTCTTCGTCTCTGGAGAGGAGGATGAGGAGGAAGAGGAGGGGCAGGAGACCATGGAGAGCAGGGGAGTGTCTTCTGGACTGGCTTGCTTGGGTGGGGAAGGAGGAGGGGGTACTGGAGAGTTCTTGCCAGATTTGAGGAGCTTGAGGTTGGAGTGGAGGTCAGAGATGAGCTCCAGGCCTGGAGAAACTTTGTGGTTCTTCACAGGGGGTTCACTGTCTACTGTCAGTAAAGGCTTCGTCTCCTCATCTTCCTCTCCCCCCACCATCTCATCTTCCTCGATCTTCATCTTTAACATCATTTCCTTCTCAGACAAGATGCTGATGTCATTGGTGTCCTCTGAGTCAAAGTCCAAATCAGCCGTGCTGCTGCTCAGTTTGAGCTCCACAGTAGTGTTTATGTTACAGTCCAAGTCAGGCTCTGTCGTCTGCTCAGCCTCTACATCACTGTGAGTATCTGGGTGAAGGTTGGCATCTTCCTCTCGATCATTATTAGTAAGAGTGCGACTGTCTTGTTCCTCTGCCACGTTGACATTAAGGTCATCTGCTATTATTTCTGAATCCATCAAATCAGGGTCAGTTGTGTTTTTGTTGTGGTCCTGGCCAGCTTTACGAAGCTGGTTCACCCCATTCTTTGCTAGTTTGGGATTGTTGGGAGTGGAGGACTGTGACGGGGATGACGATGGAGATGATGATGCCGATGAGGGCGGCACCACTTCACCGAGGCCCATGGCGGCCTGGATGCTGGTAAGCGCATACTTCTTCCGACATTTGGGAGGAGTGGCGGAGCCTTGTTTGATGACATCGCTGGTGAGGAGCTGGTTGTGTGAAGAGCGAAGGCTGAGTGAGGTGGGGGGCGTGGCGGCAGGGCCGTTACGATTGGTCACGTCTACTGACATCATCGTTGCACCAGACAGATCACCTGAAGTAGAAAAAAAATAAATAGTGAATTTAAAAACCTAAATATCCACGTGTTAATACACAGACAACACACAGGTGAGACATCACTGTCAATAACATCTATGTTTGTTTAAAAAAAAAATTACTATCAATGCCAATGCCTTTTCATTTTCTTACACATTATGTTAATTTATTCATGCTGCTGCCAATATCGACTGTTAGGTTCTCCATCTGCATTCGCTGCGTGTGTCAGACTCATAGTACGTCGCCCAAACTTTTTTTAACTTTGTTCAACTAACCACCAAATACAGAATGAACAATTTGAGAAAGCACTGCAGGTCCCTAGTTGTGTTATGTAATTTTATTACGTGCCATCCTAAGATGTTATGGCGCCAGTCGCCACTAGCCTAGGGCGCTGCAAGGAAGAAGGTTCCTGTTACTAGCAATGCTAATGTTAGCACTTGTGGGAATAACGTGTGGCACTGCATGTGTGTCTTCAACCTCATCCATTAGCGTGGACTTAATTTTGCCAATATTTTTACTCGTTTTTAATCCCGGAAACTAGCAAAACCAGGAACATTGCTGCTGTACATCCACACAATGGATTTGAAATGGAAAAAAATCAAGACGTGACTGAGCAGGTGGACTTTCAGCTGAAATTCAAGCTTTTTAAACAGGCACGCTTAGTTGAGCTAAGGTCAGACCCATGGGTTGCTTTTGTAGTGCCTTTTGAGTTATTATTGATCTGTAATATAGATAACCATAGCTTTTGTGGGATCTGGGCAGATACTTCAAGCAGCAGTCATATCACGATAGACTCAGATGCATAACATGCCCGCGCCATAACACCGCCTTACCATGATGGACAGATGATGTGGTACGCCTCCAGTCTTCTAAATACTGTTCTGTTGCCACCGTGTTCATACACATTCCAGTTGATTTAATCCTTTCAAACAGTATTTTGATCTTTTCTCTGATCTAAACTCTGATCTCATGTTTCTATTTAAGCGTCAGTGGTTTGCATCTTGAGGTAAACTCTCCATATTTACATTCATGAAGACGACTGTTGATTGCAGACTTTGGACTATGACAACTTATCGCCTACAAGAATGCTCTTGGCTTGGCCAAATGGTGCAAAGGGATTTTGTTTACTCCACTTTAATTATCTTCTGTCGTCTTTGAGGCCTTTTGCTGTTGCTGAGCTGGCCAGTGCATTCCTTCTTTTTGAGAATGCTCCAAGAGTGGTGGTTAAATCAACAATTAAGTTTCTGCTATCTCTCTGATAGGACTGTTTTGTTTCAAGTCTAATGAAGCCCTCCATCGCTTGCATCAACACCTCTTTGACAGTTCTCATTAAGAGTTATCAAATACAAATTAAACACTTTGATCGTGCTGAATAATGAGGAAACAAAAGACAAGTGGCTATAAAAAGGCTTATCAAACAACTAGCTGATTTTTTTTTTTAGCCTGTAAAAAAAATGGACATATGGTTTAAAAAAAAAAAAAAAAAAAAAAAAAAAAAAAAAAAAAAAAGCGAAAAAAGATCAACAACAATTGTGATTCTTAAACTGGCAATGCAATAGTTTTTCGCGCATCTTAAATTTAAGCCAAAAGTATATCCTTTGATTACAGTCTCATTTCAAATCAATTGTGCTGGTGATAAAAAAATAACATTTTAAAAATGGTTTAAAGTCAGGTCCATAATAATAAGTGATGTGCATGTAACAAATTATTAAAAATATATGTCATTTAAAGATTAATAAGAAAAAGGTCAGCCATCTTCAGCAGTGAATAAAGTCCAGTGACTTTAAGAAAAATACATTCTGTTCTGTTAACTTTTACAGTTTGAGCTGCTACAACATGTCTTTTATTTTTACTCATTAATGCATAAACGCGCTGCTACCAGCAGCTTTTAAAGTGGAATGTGGAGTCACATAAATCCACAGAAGTAAGTAGAAAGTTCTGCAGGTGACCTAATAATACCAAAGCACTAATTTATAAGCACAAAGATGGCGGTTTACTTCATTCTACCGACAACAGCACAAATAATAGCAGGTCAACAACGAGCAGCCTTTTTGAAGAGTCGAGTAATCCACCAAATATTAAAGCCTAAGCGCAGGTTTTACGGGTGTTCGAGAGGCAGCTGAAGGAGAACTGATGTGTTTTGATATAAGGGTGAACTCATCTGTTGAAAATTGATGGGGGCCGTTTAGTCTTGTTGAGACAGCTGTTCATGACCGGTACCGGTCCGAGGCCCGGGGATTGGGGACAGCTGATCTAAGCACAATTACGAGCATAAATATGCACATTTCGATTGTCTCTGCATGCCAATGTGATCTTGCAGAATTTGTTAATGTACAGAGGTGCACTCCTGCTACATGGTCGACTCTGGATCCACTGTAGACTCAGGATCTCTGACTGGAAGTGTGACTAAAACCCTGAAACGCTGCAAACACACCAGAGCTCACTGTAAAAATGACTTTGCTCCTTATCTTATCCTTGCGATTCTCCTCCTCCCTCCAGCACCCCACACCCAGCTCTGCTTCATTAAAATACCAGCATTACTTAGAACCCAGGATTTGTGGGTCTCTGCTCTAAAACAGAGACTCGGCAAAGAGTCAGAGGTCAGAGCTGAAGCTTTGGTACCCTGCTCACAGCTTTGAGCCATCCAGCCATGCCAAGTACACTCAGATAACATCCTACCCTCTAATCTCAAATAAATGAATACTCCTAACAGCAAGTATCACAGCCACATCTGTCTGTGATACTGTCAGTGTTAAATTCAGAAGAAATTTGCAGTAAACTGCATGCTTCAAACCTTAGTAAGACATGACTGCGTGAGTCATTGAAATACTTCACTCCAGAAATGCCTAAAAATACATAAGAACAACCTCTAGATTTCAATTTGACCACAACTCTCGTTTATGACGTTTGAATTGTCACCAGATTAGGTGAATGTGGTCACTTTATTTCTTCACTTTGACAAAAAAAAAAAAAAAAAAAAGCGGGGTTGCTCGGTTGCACCCCAGAACATGTATAGTAACATATTTTAATATTAAAATATGAGGCCATCTGTCTAAAGCTCTGTCTGAAGCTTAAATGAAACTGGGTCGTTTAACAGGACAATGATCCCAAGCACGTCAGCAAATCTACAACAGAATGGCTGAAAGAGAAAATAATGAAAGTGTTGCAATGACTCGCAGTACAGACCTCAACCTGATTGAAATGCTGCGGTGGGAACTGGGAGAGGTGTGCAAAAATGACTGCTTCAGTTTATCGAGGTTTGCAGGCAATAAGTAAAGATGACCAGACCAAAATTCCTCCATAATAAATGTGAGAGACTGATAAAGTTGCTCAGAATACAAGTTACAGTCGCTGTAGGTGGTTCAACAAGCTACTGAATCATGTGCTTAGTTTTTCACAGGACTGAATGACTGTACTGTATCAAGAGAATGTTTTTAAGTACTCCAAGTTATTTGTTTTTGTGACCCAATAATAAACAGACTGAGGGTGTGTGTGTACGTACCTGACAGGTCTGTCATACACTGGCTGTGGTCACTGTTCAGAGTTATGTGGACTCAGATCTGAGGGGGGGAAAAAAAGAACAAAATGATCAGAAGAAGAATGAAAAGAATTACGAGAAGTTGTTGGATTGCCCACAGAGACCGCATTCATCCATGTGAAACCCACTGACAGCTGGTTTCTATGGAGACAACACAACACTGTGATAAAGCAAGGATGCTGGCCACAGAAATCAAAATGATTAAACGGAGACTATGAATCAAACATGGAGGAATCAAAGAAGAAATCAGTCGATAGGGATCTCAGACGTCTTCCATACTGTGTCCCTCACACACACGGACCTGAGTACGTCTGATTCTGCATGTATAATACAGTAATAAGGGAGACGGAAGAGGTTTCCGAGACAGCAGAAACTAAAGTGGATATCCAAAGCATTTCTGAATAATTAAACAAAACACACATAATGATAGAGCTGCGGTCAGGGGTATAGAAGTTATGTTAGCAATGCTAATCTACTGTTGCTGTAAACACTAAGCTAATCCAACAATGCTTCCTTCCTATCATAAAGCTAAGGTGGTATCTTAAAGGTGGGAGGAACCTGGAAATGATCGTTTTCTTATCAGGTTTGAAGTCAATCCAAACACTGAAGCAGTCCACCTGAGTCACTCCAAGGAAAATCTGTCAGTGCATTTTTGATGAAGACTAGCACAATTATATATTTCAGCGGCCTACCCAATTTTGACCTACCATAACGGTAGGTCAAAATAGGGAACTTTTGAGGTCGTCTTATCACTAAAAGTTATTTAGACAATAATTCTGATACAGAAATCACAGCTCTAAGGCAAGCCTGAAAACGTAGGTTAAAGGCGAGACATGTGCTGTCCAGTAAAAAGAATCTCTATATAATATTATTCCTACATTATTTCAGTTCAACAGCTGCATCACATGCAAGACTTTAAAAAAAAAAAAAAAAACAGAAACAGGCCTTTATTTTCAGTCACTACTACAAGAAAAACAGAAAAGCACTTAGCTGTTGCATACCTGAGAGCTAAGGATGGTGGAAAACTCCAGGATGGAGCAGGTCCATACTGGTAGTCAATGGTTCTTTCTTCATCCAATCATGGCTTTACTGAAGCAGCAGCAGCAGCAGCGTCCTGAGGGAGAGAAACATGAAATAGGATTAATGAGAGAGACTGAGAGACGGGTGAGCAGAAAGAGCGAGAGGTCTGAAGGGCACAAGAGGGACAAATAATAAAGACATCAATTATTCACAACCTCAATCAAACAGGAATACACAAGATGGGTGTGTATGTTTGGATACCGTATATATATATGTGCATGTGTGTGAGAGAACATAAGGTTCATTTTGTAGAGAGCTCATATTTCTCTCTTTTGGTGCAGTCGGGCCAAACCTTTGCTGACTGGAACCATCATAAACTTAATGCCGCCGGAGGCTTGTAAACTCTCCTCTGCTTTCCAACACACACGCGCACGCACACACAGCAGACTTTTGGACAGTTCTTATTAACACACAACTATGAGAAGCAGAGAGAAAGATAATGAGTATAGTTAGAATGGACCATAAAAATCCCACTTACATCTGGCTGAAGGGCTGGGAAGACCCTTGGACTGATTTTAGGGTAGGGCTGTTCGATATAACATAAATATCGGATGACGATATAAAAACGTCTATAGTTTCATTTTAGGCTATCGTTTGTTTCGTGGTGTCACAAAATAAAGAGTTTACGGCAATATTTTTTCATCGTTTTGACGGTCACTGTAGTGGCTATATTAATTTCTTAAAGTTCTCTCTTTCTCTTATATTTTATATAACCACACTACAGACGGACAAGCGCCTGTTTTTGTTAGCAACAACGACGGTAACAGCATCGCGTGTTCGCTTGTTTATTTTCCACATAAACCTTTCACAATAAAGCTCAAGATCCTGTTGAGACAAAATAAACTGAATCATGTGAAAGAGTATGCAGAGTATTTATGGATGAAAAGCAAAAAAAGAGCTGTCAGGTGCTAAAAAATAAACCTTAGACTCAAACGTTAGAACAGGCTTTTCCCCGCAGCACGCTGTGTAATAAATACTCAAAGAAAACTGTGGCCGTTACAACTTATGTCTAAAAATGTATCGTTTCATGCATCAGTTAAAACACTCGTCTCCAGGTACACGACGCACAGCTGGAAACACTTCCCACAAGTCGAGCAGCCCGAGATTCACAGAATTTACAGAAAATGTAAAATTTGTGATTTATATCGTTATCGGACGATAGATGTCTTATATCGGGATATGAATGAGATTTTGGTCATATCGCACAGCCCTATTTTAGGGTGTAAAAATTGTAATAACTTCAGAAACTGTTTACCTTATAGCACGGTTATGTTTAAAAATCATCAAAGTGGCTTACGGCAAAAGATAACTTGGAAATCAGCCCACCTAAAAGATGTTATTGCATCATTGGATAAACAAAAATCAATTTTTTAATGGTTGCTAATTTCAGAACAAGAATAAGGGATTCACGACCAAAATGAGGGTCCCAGCCCTGTGATGGGTCATGAAAGTACTACAATTTGGCCACGATAAACCATATATAGTATTAATGTATTCAAAAAAAAAAAAGTCTTTTGTAAATTATCTTTAAATTTGAGTTAAAGATTTAAATCTTCAAAAAAAAAATACATAAGAGAACTAAAAATCACCTTCAACAAGCAAATCGCCAGAAGATCAAAATCTACTTGATGAAAACAGATTAAATATTTCATTTTAGGCTTCTGTAACGTTATCATTAAAGATTTGAGTGGTACACCAAAGATTTTTGGATTTCCAAATTAGAGATTTGTCTCGAGTGATGGTAACAAACTGCTGTTCTGTGGATTAATCTGTTGGGTTCGGCGTCGTTCTGCGTTTGCTGCCACGAGGCAGAAGCAGCTATTGGGAGAGCTAATGTAGCATTTCACACCTACAATGCCAGCAGCTTTACTTTGCGAGTTTCTTACTTGACTGCAAAACTGTAGGCGAGTGAGTTCACGCAACACTCGCAACACAAAGATGTTTTGGCTTCTTTCTTGTGCTCCTCATTCGTCCTACCGAACCACTCGGAGGGAGGCTGGTTCAGAAAAACCTGTTGGAAAGCTTTTATAAACACTCATGGCAACATAACCCAGTGTTGTGAGTGTGATTAATATCATGTCACGTCATTTGTCTCCTATTAGCAACACATGCAATGCGTGTCTGAGTGTGCAAAAGAACAAAACTCTAACTAGCCTAAAGCTTCACTTTGAGCTGAAATGTGACCAGTGAAAATAAATTAGATTAATGTTGCCAACAAATGCAATACAAATTCAGTGAATTCTTCTTCTTCTTCTATGTATCAGATAAAGTTGCATTGTTGGTTCATGTTCAAAACGAGCCACGGCTAAATGCCAATTTCAGGACATGTGCTAAAGTGGAAATAAAGGAACCAAAGCAACAGAGCTGCAAAACATCCCATAAACAACAAAAGGTCTCCAAGCTCACATCATTTTTCTACAGGTTTACATAACTGAGCAGTGTTATGAAGTTCACATACATCCATGAATGTGATTGTCAATATTATTTAAAACTTGAAACATTGACACCAATCTGAGTATCAACTTACATAACAGTCAAACATCTGGTTTGTCTAAGTGTTACAGCAACTGTGATAAAACACTCACACATCTGAGGAGAAGCTGTATAATTTTCACCAGCTGCACATACTCTAATGCTTTTTTCATTTTAATGGTTTATGTTGGGACACGCAAGATCGAATGGACTACACTATCTGCCATATCAGGTGTAAGGGTTTAAAAACTCCTGGGAACAGCAACACTTTAGGAATCACACCGTGAGCAGGCACAGATGAGTTTTGAAGGCAACTCAATTTTCATGCATAATCTGAAAATAGAAAAAGAAAAGTTCAGACAAAGACAGAGGGTTGGTGTTTAAAAAAAATTGAAATGTTGCATTCTGGGATTAAAATTACAAGGCATGCTTGGTTACTTGGATCCTGCTGCAACAAGTCTGCATACCAGAGAATATATGTGACTTTGTGGGTATTTGCACAAAAGGGTGTCCACACTGAAAACAAATGGATAGTTTGCTGCAGTGTCTGGCAGTTTGGATATTTGCCTTAAACCTAAGCAGCATTTGCAGTTCATCCCTACGCCTATGATTTGGGAGAAGGCTTGAGGAGAAAGGAGGCCATAGCAGTCTAATCTCAGTTTTTCTTAGTTTGTTAATACACACAACCAGATCTATTATTATTATTATTATCATCATTATTATTGTTATTATTAAAGTAATCTGCACCAACCACCACCTCACTGGAAATCAAGTCTGCACTTCCCCTAATGGCCTTTTGAGCCAGGCTTCACAATCGAGTCAATGCACACAGACTCTAATGTCAAAATGCCCAGCTCTTACAACACCTGGAACCCTCCCGTGTCCTCCTAATGTACTCTTGTTTTCACACATCACTATATATCAATAAAAATGTGGTTTGACAACTAATAGAAAGGGTAGGCAGAGA